CCTGCCTCTGCCACATGGGCCCCAAAGCAGGCCAAGCCAGGGACCCCATGGCCCACAAGGCAAAGGCATCTTCAGTTTTCACTGTAAAAGTTTTTTAATGCATTCTTTTTACTTAATGTTTTAGGCGTGTGTGACACTTTGGTTTTAGCAGTCATGTCCCCCTCGTGGCCCTGACTGGCTTTCTGGCTGGCTTTTTCCTGTGGGCAGTTGCCCTCCCTCTCAGAGTGTGCTTTTCGGTGTGCTGGCCTGGGGGCGCCCACTGATCCCTCCCAAGTACTCCGGTGGCTTTGGCTGCCCCCATGGCCACAGGCCAGCGCCTGGGGTCTGGGTTGAGGGGCATCCGTATGAGCAGGGTTCCGAGGACTCTGCCGCCACAGGCGCCATTAAGTGGCAGGTGCAGCGCCCTTCCTGAGCCGAGGTGGGTGGCGTGGTCCGGGTGGGACGCTGGTCCAGGGCGGGGTGCACGGGCTGGCCCACCTTGGGGCCCGGCTCTCCAGCAGTCTGATGAGGAAGGGTGGGCCTGTGGTAGCCAGTCGGGCAAGAGGCCAAGCCCTGGGCCTGCCACAGGGACCAGCCCAGCCACCTGTGGGGCCAGTCTGCATCCTGCTAGGCCGCCTGCCTGCCCCGGCCCCCACTGCCTGCACCCTCAGGTGCAGGCTCAGTGCAGGACCTGGCTTACAAGCAGCTACTGCAATACTGTCCTCACCAGCATTGTCAAGGGGACCTGAGCTTGCATGGCTTTCAGTCTGTCAGCAGGCATGGTCACTGGTCAGTGACTGCCCAGCGAAGGGGAGGTGCATGCTCTCCCCCCCACCCCGTAATGGCAGCTCCTCCCACGGGCACCCCTGAGCAACCACCTGGTCCCTGCCTGGCTCCCTGCTGGGTTACAGGCTTAGCTCTGCTAAAGGTGCTGCGTTAGGGACATGGCTCCCACAGTAGTACAGAAATGCACATCACACACACGTGTACATACTGGCTCCAGAGTTGTGAACGCAAACATCTGCGAAGGTCCACGCATGCGCACCGGCCGGGGCTCCCGCCCAGCTCCCTCCCCGCACGCGCACAGACAGTGACAAGCCAGCACAGAAGGTGAGCACGCGTGTTGGGGCCAGCGTCTGCGGGGGAGGGGCTGCCCCATTCCCGCTCACACTGCACCCCCCAGGGCTCGCAGGCAGCCGGGTCTCCAGGCCAGGAGGCCCAGGCCCAGGCTCAGCACCGCCAGCACGGCCACAGCTCCGGCCAGCAGGGGCACTGTGGTGGCTGCGGTGAGAACACGGGGGTCGTGACTCCCAGGTCCGGGGGCCCCCTTGTTCCCACCCCAGTGCAGAGGGCTGTCACCTGGGGCAGCGGCAGGCCTATGGGAGCCATGGCAGGCGGCCCCACGGGCGGGAGGCCGGGCCGGAGCAGTCAGCTGGCGGAAGCGCCCTAGCGGGCAGGGGGCTGGGCACCCGGGGACGCTGAGGGACAGGGGCGGGCGGTTGGTGTCGTTGCGGTAGAAGAGGGAGACGGTGATGTTCCTGGAGGGAGAGAGGAGACTGCCGTGTCCTGGCGCTGACCAGCCACACGGGGGCATCTTCGCCTGGGGCATGTGGGAGTCCGTCCCACTCCCTCTGCTCGCCTGGTCCTCACCCTCCGGCTCCGTCTTCCTCCGGGTCCCCAGCGCAGCTCCGGAACTCAAAGCCAAGGCAGGCAGCATAGGGTGGGGTGTGCCCGTCATAGAGGCCCAGGGCCCCGTACAAGGCCAGAAGGGTGCTGTCGTGCTAGGGGCAGACACAAGCAGACGGTTCCTCTCCTGACGTCCCCCAGACCCTGAGAGCCAAAGCTCCTGCTCCCCCCTCGCCTGGAGGCAGTTACCCAGAGCCACTGCATAGGTGCTGGGTTAAACACCTATGCTTCCAGAGGAGCTAAGTGCTTTCCTCATGCTCTCACCTCCCTGCTTCCAGCGTTGATCTCTAGTGAGAGGGTCCAAGCAGGGCTTTAGAGATCAGGGTCACGCAAGGCAGTGGGCTGGGGCCACTGACTGGCACCCGAATTGCCATCACCCCGCCCCCTGTGCATGCGGGACCACCTCTTTCCCAACGACTCACAGCAGAGTACATGACCATCTTGAGGGGCAGCCCCAGGCTCTGGACCCGGGAGAAGTTGGCAAGGATGGCATCCAGCAGAATCCCTGAGAGGATGGGAGCAGAGGCTCAGGACCCCCTGGAGGAAGGTACCCGGCCCCCCAGCCCCCAGAACCCCACCTCACCCCCAGTCAGCTGGGCCTTCTCTGCCGCCCGGGGCGGGCCCACATGGGCCCTGATATCCAAAGCCGAGATCTGGCCGAGTGTCCTCAGGACATCTGGGGAGGCCCAGGGTGGGAGGGCAAGGCCGTGGGCTCGCTGGGGAGACAGAGACAGGACGTCCCCAGCCGCCCTCCCACTGTCCCCCCACCTGGCACCTGAGCCCCTCATTGGCTGGTTCCCATCAGAAATCATAGTGCTGAAATAGTGATGATTAATCCAAGATACAAGTGACCTTGCCATGCCCTCCAGAAGCCCGGCCTGAAAGCAGAGATCCTCAGGTCTCAGACGCTCGGTTTTAGAAGAGTTGGATGGCAGCAGTGGCAGCGCGAGCCAGGCCAGCCTCTCTAACAGGGAGCCCTCCTGAGGGGCGAAGTAAGCAGGCAGAAGCATCCCTTCCTGCTGCGAGCTCTGGTTCCAGGAGCCTCTAATGGGGGTCCAGCACAGGACGCCTCGCTGCCCCCCGGCCCTCAGGAGCCTGTCACAGGGATCAGCCTGTTTTAATATTCACCACACCCCCAGAGTGGGGAAACTGAGGCACAGGGGCTAGGTCAGCTGCCTGAGGAAACAGCCAGCAAGTGGCAGGGTGGGGACTTGAGCCCCTTGTGGAGGTGCAGGGCTCACCTGGCAGATCAGCGTGTCCAGAACTTTCCAGGCCTTGCGGAGCGGCTCCCCCACCAGCGTCAGCCCTGTGAAGTTGCTCAGGCGACTCAGGAAGTCCTGGGGGCACAGGCAGGGTGAGCCCAGAGCCTGGGCGATGCCCACCCCCAGCCCACAGTCTGCTCACCGTCCAGCCCTCCAGGGCTTCCTGGTACTCGGCCGCCTCCGTGGACTCCCGCAGCAGCTCCTGGTACCGGGGACAGCTTCGCATGGGGAACCTCAGCAGCTGGGGAAACTGAGGCTCAGCGAGGACAGCAGCGTGCTAGGGCTCACGGCTGGGTGGGGAGTCAGGGTTCTGGGGCCCTTGTCTGTCCCAGCCTCCTGGCCCTACAGCCGTGTGGGCCAGAGCTCCCTGAGCAGGCAGCTGAGCCCGGGGACAGTCGCAGTGCCGGGGCCTCCCTGGGCTCCCTGAGGCTCAGTCCCCCTGCCTGGCGCTGCGTGCCCCTCTGTCTGTGCCCTTTCTCGTCTGCCGCTGTCCCTCTCTCACCCCGGGTAGCCCCTGACCTTGTCCTCAGCCACGGGCACCGTGTGCACCGGGATCGGCCTCCAGTCGGCCTCGGAGCTCCTCGGGGACGCCTCCGGGAAGAGCCCGGCCAGGATGGCCTGAGCGCTCTCCAGTGTGCGGTCGAAGTCGGTGCTGCGGATGTACACCTGGGCGGGGAGGGCAGGGACAGGTGGGCGGGATCGGTAGGGCAGAGGCTTCAGATGCGGTGCCGTGTGGGGCAGGTTAGAGGTCATGGAGGGGCTCAGAGGTCAGGCACTGGGCGTCAAACTCGAGGTGGGTTCAGTGGCCGGCTCCTCCGGGTGGGAGGCGGGGGTGGCGCAGAGGTCAGCGTCAGGAATGGGCATTTGGAAGTCAGAAGTTGGACAGAGGGGGTCAGCTGAGTCCTCGAGGGTTAGAGGGGAAGGCCAGAGTCAGGGGATGGAGGTCCGCGGAAGGAAAGGGGCGGAAGTTCACTGAAGGCATCTGGGCTCAGCGGTCAGGAGAACTGATCCTAGCCAGGAAGACAGGCGCAGAAAAGAGCGGAGGGGAGGTCGGGGTTGAGGACCGGGAGCCGGCGCAAGGAGGGGCCGAGTGGGCGGCGCTTAGGGGTCAGAGGTCGGGGCCGGGAGCCGAGGCGAAGGGGGGCCGCGGGGAAGGTCGCCAATGGCTTGAGGTCAGGGGTCGGGAGAGGGCAGCGCGGGATCTTTGGGGTGCACGGGCGGGCGGCGGGAGGCCGGGAGAGCCGGGTCGGTACCTCCTCGCGCCGGTACTCCGGGCTCAGGTAGGCCTTGTAGCGCCTCCGCAGGAAGCGGCCCAGCTCCAGCTGCTGTTGGACCCCCTCCTGGAGACAGAGCCGGCTCAGGGGCCGCCCGCCCGCCGCCCGCCGCCCGCTCCTGCCGCCCGCCGCCCGCCCCTCACCTCGGTCAGCTGGCCCAGGCCTCGAGGCCACAGGGTGGGGGCGGCGTCCTTGTGCGGGTCTGTGGGGTAGGAGGCCAGCGGGGCCCGGTCGCCGTGGCGGAACACCTGGGGACGGACCGGGTCAGCGCGGCGGGCCGCCGGGACCAGGGGCAGGCGGGGCGGGGGCCGCTCACCAGAGCCACAAACAGCAGGGGTCCGTCCGGCAGGGCCCGGGGCAGGAGCAGCAGGAGCAGGAGAGGAGCAGCGCTGCGGGCCCCACACCCCGGCCCGGCCATCGCCACCGGCCTAGACGCTGAGCTCAGCCCCGTCTGCGCGCTGTGCACGGCCTCACCTGCTCATTAGCCCTGCCAGGCCCGGCCCCTCACCGGAGCGAGCGAGCGCAGGCCCCGGCACGCCCCCCTCGCCGCTCCACCAGCCCGTTAACCCCTTTAGGCTTCACTGCAGCCGAGCGATCGAGGTGCAGACCCGTTACTGCCATCCTCACTGTACTGATGGGGAAACTGAGGCACGGGAGGCCCAGTGAGTGGCAATGTAACGTGGACCAGACACAGGGAGAGACCCCTGCCCAGCCCCACGGTCTACACCCTCTGCTCCCCACTCTCCTCTGACCTTGCTTCCTCATCACTGAAGTACTGGGGCTCCTTGGAGATTTTACCTTCTTCCAGTGCCCCCAACCCCACAACTGGTCAAAGCCAGCAGGGCCTGATGGTTCAATTCCCAGCTTCACAGTGACAAGCTTTGTGACTGAGCAAGTTACAGCACCTCCCTGTGCCTCAGGTTTCCAGAATGCATCAGATGAGCACATACAGCGCGAGCACAGAGGTCTGTGGAGAATGATTACTAAGAAGGCGAGCGACTTACTGCTGTGTGACAAAGAGCCCTAAACCTGCCGGCTTAAAACTCGTGTTTCACTCACGAGGGCTTGGCAGGTGCCGGGGGTCGGGTCAGGTCCCTCACAGGGTGCAGGCCTTGGGGGTCCGGCTGGGCTGGAAGGACCAGTTCTGCCTGGACAACTCAGCTGGCAAGAGTCCCCCGTACCTGTGGTCTTGGGTGGCACCGTTTTGTTGTTGATTTGGAGCTGTGCACAGAAGCCAGGGCCTTCTCACTGAGCTACATCCCTAGCCCTTTTTATTTTTAATTTTGAGAGGCCACTGCCTCCTCCCTCTGCCGTCAAACCCCGACCCCTCCTCTCTGTCAAAACGCCAGCTTCTTCTGGCTGCTCTGCTGCCGAAGCTCTGGCCCTATTTCCAGTGCGCAGAGAGAGCTTGAGTGACATTACCTGGGCGTTGCTCCACACACCTGTATTCCCCGCACTCTGGAGGCTGAGGAAGGAGAATTGTCTCGAGTTCAAGCCCAGCCTGGGCTATATGGCGAGACCATCTCAAAAAATGAAAGAAAAAAAACCACAGTAATGCCAAAGAGAAACATGAAGTTACCGAAGGTTAGAAAAAGCCACCAGAGGAAAATTAAATAGACACCAGATTCCACTGATGCCGGAGAAGCTTCAGCACTGTCAGGCCTGGGTGTCCACTTCCAGCCGCTGCTGAGCATCTCCAGCACCCTAGGGACTCCTGAGGGTAGGGGTCTGAAACCAGCCTCGACGGGTGGAAACGAAGTTGTCCCTGGGTCACCCTCCCACCACCAGCTCTGAGGAAAGTGTTTCCTGGCCCTTCCACTGCCTACAGGGCGGCTCCTTCCCTCCACTGTCACATGGCTTTTGGTTTCTACAATCCAATCTCTGTCTCTCTTTTACTTTCATTTTTTTGTTTTTGTCTGTTTTTGTAAGCAGGGTCTCGCTATGCTGTCCAGGCTGGCCTCAAAAACTCAGCGATCCTCCTGCCTCAGCCTCCTGAGTGCTGGGATCACAGGCGTGTGCCACCACGCCCAGCTCCATTAGATGCTGCACTTGCTGCTTCCTGCTGTCATGTGGTCATGGACGCCACCTCAGTTCACATGAGGCACAAACACGTCTGCTCATACAAGTACTCCTTACCCGTGACATCAGACCAGCCCTGCACTTCCCTAACCTGCCTGGCTCAGGGAGCACCTCCCCTCCTCTTTTTCAAGACACCCACTCTCTGTTCACTTGACCCGCACTGCCTCCAAATACCCTTCACAGCTGTCTGTCCAATCCAGAACCCCACTCGGGACCACCGTCCACTGGGCTCCGAGAAAGTCCGCCATGATGGGCTGTGTCCTGGCGTTTCTGACACCCAGAGCTGATTCCTGTGCGCCCAGCTCCTGGGCAAACTCTCCAGAACTGCACAACTCAGAAGCTCCGTGTAACATTCTGCATCTGCGTCTCCCTCGGCCCAACCCCCCCCCCCAGGAATGGCCCCTACCCAGAATGCCTTGCCCCAGTCACCACGGCCACCATTCTGGTCTCCCTGACAACCCCTCTCAGTTCTGGTGGCTTTCCTGGCTCACAGGCCAGGGAAAAGCTCGAGGTCCCGGGAGCCCAGAGCTGAGGACCCATGGCCATGAACTTCCAGGAAGTGAGGAGGGCGGGGGGGTGGGGCGGGGCCTGACCTCTGACCTCCCCCCCAGAATGTGACCCTGGCCATAGCCGCCTTCACCATCATTGCCTCCATCTACTTCTTCAACAAGGTGAGGGCAAGACCGGCACAGAGGGGACCCAGCCTGGCCCCCTGCTCCCTGGTTTCGGCCTGGTCTCTGCACCTCTGATTCGGCCTCCTGTGCTCCCCCAGGCTCGGCAGTGACAGACACCAGCTCGCCTGTCAGAGCCCGCCGCTGCCACCGGCACCATGACCATGGCCCCCTGCGACCAAATAAATGGAACAGCACCAGCACAGACCGCGCCTTGTGCCCTCTTGAGCAGGGTCACTGAGCCTGCTGCCCACTGAGGGCTAGGCTGTGAGTCTGAGGGAGGAGGCCGGGCCTGCACCCCGGGACTGAGGGGGGAGGAGGATAAAGACTCAGCTCCTCAGGTTGGAGCCAGGGCCGGCCATGAGCGAGTGTGGGGCTGAGCAGAAGTCCCCGGAACACACAGGCTCTGAAGACCATTCCTGCCCTGACTGCATGAATAGAAAGGGGAGAGGGTGGAGCAAAGTTACTGCCTGGCACTGAAGCAGCCCACTTTTGTACTTCACACTCCCTGCTTCTCTCCAACCCCTAGTTTTCTTCTCTGTCAGGCAGAAGTGACAGACCTTTTGGCCCCCAAAGGCCACAGCACAAAGGATGAAGTAACTTCAGAATTGTGAATGGGCTTTGTGGGTGGCTGAGTCTGTCATTATCATGTCTCGTCCATCACTATTTTTTTTTTGATACAGGGGCTGGAACTCAGGACCTTGTGCTTGCCAGGCAAGCACGGTGCCACTGAGCTACATCCCTAACCCCATCCTCATCTTATTTAGCAACACAGCTTCCCCTTTCTCCTCTTAGCAAACTCTTATTCAACCTTCAATACCTGCTGTCCATGCCCCTTCTTAGAGAAGCGTCCAGAACCCCAGATAGGCAGTGCGTCCGCAGCCCGATTGCTGCCCCCTTCCCCTCCCTATCTGCATCCCAGAACACCCAGGTGAGTTTCCAGGAAAAAGAGGCCTGGGAATTCCAATTAGGAGCACACTCATAGCGAAAGCATGATTTTCCCTCAGATGAACATAATTTTTTGCATTACAAACACTTCCAGCTAGTGATTTGATAACGGCGCCCTGTTTAATTCTCCAAAATGTCCAGATTTGACGGGTCCTTGGTTGCAAAACCACGAGCCAGCACACGGGGGCGGTGTCGCACTGTTTCCCCACCAAGGTCCGTCCGCGCCAGCGTCGCGCTCTGGAAACCGAAGTCTGGTTCTGCAAAACCTCAGCAAGATCTGGGGGGCCATGCGTCTCCCGCAGGCCTCAAGGCCCTTTCTCCACCGTGCAGGCCGCACTCCCGCTCCCCCTGGACAAGGAGCCCTGGGCCCCAGGCCTGCAGCCCCAGCCCTTTGTTTTGTTTTATTTTGCGGTTTTGGGGGTTGAACCCAGGGCCTTCAAATGGAGCTACATCCCCAGCCCTTTTATATATTTTTAAAATTTTAGGGGCTGGGGATTTAGCTAAGTGGTCCGGCTGCCTGCCTCGCAAGCGCAAGGACCAGAGTTCGCTCCCTGGTACCACAAATAAATAAATAATAAAAATAAAATTTTGAGACAGGGTCTCCTCAAATCGCTAAATGGCTCAGGCTAGGCTCAGACTTGTGATCCTCCTGCCTCAGCCTCCCAGAGTATTGGGATTTCAGGCATGAGTCTGGTTTGTTTTTCTAATCCTACCCGCTTCCCATGGCCCCTCACCGCTCCACAAGAAACTCGAAAAGGATCAGCCACACCCCCTGCCTGGAAGGTCGCCCCCCCCAGCCTGCGCACCCCCTCTCCCTTGGGTAAGTCGCAGTCGGGCGCACAGCTGGATGGGTCCGCACGGGAGCGGGAGGGGGGGACCCTGGGGGGCCCAGCTCCAGCCGGGCAGCTCAGACCGCAATGCCGCGGCCTGGCGGGCCTCTCAGTCTCGATCTCCATCTCCATCTCGCGCCGACAGCTCCCGCCCTGACGCCGGCGCTAGCGCGGGCTGAGGCAAACAAATCACAAGCCCAGACTGGGCGATTCATGGAGACCCTGTCTCAAAATAATAACAAGGGCTGAGGATGTCGCCCAGCCGGCAGGCCCTCAGTTTACCCACTGTACCACAAAAAGAAAAAAATGTGAAGCACAGGTCACCGGTAGCTGGGGAATATTTGGAAGTTTTAAAGTAAAAGAAGGAAAATAAGGTGGCTTCCCAGGGCCAGTCAGGGGAGGCACAGAAAGAACCTTCGGATTTTCACTGTGAGCAAGAAACGAGGTGGGGTTGGCACCTACTGGGTCCAGGACACGTGGGGGCCACTGCTGCCCACGGGGCTCTGTCCCCCCAGCCCCAACCGGGCCAGTCCCATGTGCATAGCAGGGTCTCCTACTTGGCCCCAGCTGGGCACTGGAAGCCTCACCCCTCAAGTACTCAGTCCTGCCCAGTGTGGTGGCACAGGCCTGCATTCCCAGCACTCAGGAGGCTGAGGCAGGAGGATCGCCAGAAGTTTGAGGCCAGCCTGGGCTCCATAGTGAGACTCTGTCTCAAAACACAACAAAAACAAACTAAAGTACAGTTTGCGGAGGAAAGCTTTACTTGGAAAGTCAAAGGGAAGACAGGGACAGGACCAAAGCTTGAGCTGCAGAGAGGGCTCGCCCTTACGCAAGGTTCAAACTGCTCACCCACAGAGCCAGTGTGACTTTTAAGGATCAGCTGCAGTGGGCCAGGTCCTGGTCAATTCCAGTTTCAGTCCTGCTTTTGTAGCTCCCATGAATTCTCATTACTTGGGCAAGTCGGGATCTGTGGGAAGGGTTCTCATGCCTTGAGTCCAGGCCAGCCTCAAACTCATGACGATCCTCCCGCCTCAGCCTCCCGAGTCCTGGGATCACAGGAATGCACCAGCAAGGCCCACTCATCGAAGGGCAGTGTCTGACCTCTGGGGTCTGCTGGAACCCATGGTGAGGTCATCGCTGCCGTCCCTGTAAATCCCTTCCCTGGCGTCCTCCGTCTCGAAGGGCTGTGACACAGATTGGATACATTTCGGGCCAATTACCCCTGCTTCACCAACTCTGGAACATACACACCCTGAATGACAGAGCTGCCTCTCCTCGGGGCCAGGCGGAGCGGGGGTGGGAGCTTCCTCCCTCCCCAGATCCTGCTCCTCACATTTCAGTCCCCAAGGGCTTCTGCAGGCCGAGTGAGAGTCGCGATTTTTAACAAAAACTACTTTGCAGTCCCCGCTGCCCCAGGAGAAAGCAGGAGCCCTGTTTTTGATGAGTGGCAGGTAGAGGCCCAGGAGTGTTTGTGCCTCGTCCTGTGGTTGTCTCTGTGTCATGGCCAGGTCACTCCCAAGATAGGGTGGTCCCTGTTGCCCACCGTGTAGTGCCCCATCTGCCCCTGCCCTCGGCTGTCTCTGTCCTCTTGGGCCCCGCCTTGCTCCCTGCCCCGGACCACCCCCCTTCCATTCCTGTCCTCCCCAGAGCACTGCGGGTGGGGCTGGTCTCCCCTCCTCTCCCAGCCTCCACCTCCCTGTCTGCCGCCCAGGGCTGTGTGATTCCACCTCAAAAAGGCTGCAGCCTGCGGTCTCCCACTCGTGTCTCCTTCCCTGTGGCTCTGGTCTCCTCTGAGTCTCTGCCCCCCCTCCATTCCCCTTGTCCCCTCCATCCACTGCATCCAGCTGCACCTCAGCTTGACCCAACCCGAAGCCTGGTGGTCGGTCACAGAGGGGGTCCCCGCTCTGGCCCTGCCCTAATCCCCAGGGGTGTCCTGGGCTCAGCCTTGTTCCCAGTGCTCAGCCCCACTGTCTCCTCCTCACTGTCCCTGGGCCCCCGAGGGCCTGTTGCAGCTGTCACCTGAAGGCGGGTTCTCCACACCCCAGAGGCGGAGCTCCAGGGGTCCCAGTGGCACCTCCATGTCCCCCGATGTCCCCCAGGGCCTGGTGTCCTGGCCACGGCTGCTGGCTGTGGCGTTAGGTGGGGTCCCTGGGCCGGCCTGGTCCATGGTGACCCTCAGGCCTGGGCCACTGAGCCCGGCAGCAGCAGCAGCAGCCAGAGCCCGGCGGCCCAAGCACAAGTCACCTGCAATGCAGTGGCCCAGGCCGGGCGCCTGCAGCAGGCAAGACCTCAGTGTCACCAGGGCACACGGGGCCGGAGTGCAGACGCAGGGTTTCCTCAGGCTGCTCCCGGGGACCAGCCCCCCAGTCGACCCAGGCCCTGCACCTCCACTCAGCCCCTCACCATCCTCCCAACCCAGCCTCGTGCCAGCCCCTCTGTCCCCAAAGCCCCACACTGGCCCCATGGCTCCCAGCAGCCCCCACCTCAATTTACCCCTCTGGCCCCCCTGCCCTGAGCTCCCCAGCAGGTGGCCCATGGGTCCTCAGGGTGTGCACAGGACTCGGGCTGGGCCTCAGCTTTCCCTCTGGACACAAGGACTGGCTCCCACGGCCCTGGCCCCACACCTGCAGCCCACCCGCCTGGCCAGCTCCAGCTCGCTGCTTCCCTCCTCCCCGCTCGCCAGCTACCCGCAGCGCATCCAGCCTCTGACCCTGCTGTCTTGTCATCTGGGTGCACCTCGCTTTATCCCCCCACTGCGGACAGACAACCCCTACTCATCCTTCTAAACCCCATTGAGTCCCACCTTCTGAGGAAGCTAGGCGCTGGCCATGACTCACCCCTCCAGGCTGGGTCAGGTGTCCCCGCTCCTTGTACACAGCGCCTCTGAGCCTGGATCCGAGCTACACCGGGGCAGGGACTGGGTCTCCACTCATATTTACAGGCCAGAGCATGGCTGGCTCGGGGTAATTCTTACACACGCCACTCTCCCAATCAAAGTGAATGGGCGAATGAATGGATGAGCAGATAATCACAACCAACCTCACAAGCCCAGCACATGCTTGTGTACAAATCAGTGAATGAATGTATTCCTGTCTCATCCTGGGAACTTCTATTCATACATCAGTACCCCACTCACAAGTCCCCTCCTCTAAGACGCTCTCTGACTTTTCCAGGAACAGCTCCCCTTCAACCTCTTTTCCTCTCTCTGACACCCTATTTATCCCTTGAACAGCCCAGGTCCAACTCTGTCTGTTCTCAGTGTCACCCAGCACAGAGGCCAGGACCACCTGCCTGGGCCGCTGCTGGTCAGAGCCAGACAAGAGGAAGGAGGGGCCAAAACCCAGCAAAGGGACCATGCAAGACCCGGCTCTGACATCAGAGGTGCATGGCACACCCCCCAGGCTCGCCCTCACCCCCAGACCCAGGGCTCCACCAGTGAACCGGCAGACAGGGGCACCCGGCAATGTCGATGCGGGCGGGCACCTTTATTTTTTTAAATATATTTTAAATTTCTTTTTGTTTTTTTTTGAGACAGGGTCTCACTATGTAGCCCAGGCTGGCCTCAAACTGGCAGCGATCCTCCTGCCTCAGCCTCCCCAGTGATGGGATTACAGGGGTCCACCACCTTTAGAGGCCACGAGGCAGGGAAACATCCTCTTCTAGAGCCCATGAAGACCTTTTCAGGACTTGTAAAATAATGGATTTGAGGTTTCAAGCCTCTCAATCTGTCGTAAGAGGAAATGCACCCCATTTTACAGACCAGCAAGCAGAGACTCTGAGGCCATACAGTCACTCAATTGCTGAGTTTGCCCCAGGAATGAGAAGGGGCAGCGAGCTGGGGACAGGCCGCAGGGGACAGGTTTGCTGGCCTCCGCCCAACCCCATCAAGTTCCAGAGGCATCTTTTTTTAAAAATTCCGATTGTAGCCCAGGCTGGCCTCCATCTCACTGCGATCCTCCTGCCTCAGCCTCCTGGGTGCTGGGATCACACCTGTGGGCCCCCTCACCCAGCTGGTAGAGGCATCTTTCTGACCCCTGCCTGCCCCACTCACAGACCCCCTTGGCTCCCAGCACCCCAGGGCAAATCCAGCCCCACCCCACCTCACTGCCTCCCTTCCTGAACGCCATCCGCTGCCCCACCCCAGGGTGCCTTCTGCCCTGAAGACAACCTCGGTCGCTCTTGGTGTTCATCTCCACTCCAGCCCCGGCCTCCTGAGCTCAAGGTAGGAGTCCGACTGGGGGGGGGGGCGGGCAGCGCTCCGCAAACCCCGTATCAGGCCAACAGGAGACCCAGCGTGGGGGCCCCAGCACCGCCTACCACGGGCCCCACCCCAGCGCGAGGACCCTGGCGAGGGGCCACAGGGGCAGAGCGGGAACGAGAACCCCCACTGCGAGCGCCCTGGGTCCCGAGAGCGCACAGGATTGCTCAGTGCACCGTACCTACACCCGCGCGGGGAGGGCTCAGAGGGCTGGGAAGCGATGGGTGAGATCTCCTGACAGCTATTTCCCGACATTTGATGACAGACTGTCTCCACGGCTGCGAACATCTCAAACTAGGCCAGGCTGGGGCGCCGCCTCCCTCCCCGTGCGGAGAGGAACAGAG